GGTTTTTTTTTTTTTTTTTTTTTTTTTTTTTTTTGGTGGGGGGGTATTCCAGAAGCTTTGCTGAACAAATACTAAATTCTCTAACAACAAGGTAGGTCTGAGGGATTTTCTTCTCCTTGGGACATGTTCTAAATACAAAAATCAGTCAAGGGAAATAATCACAGCAACCACTAGTGCCCGGCTCTTGGGCCATCTCTGAAGGCAGTGAAGTTTCCAGCATTGACCGGGTCACGGGTGGCAAATGCACATGTCCAGAGGGCTGGGAGGTATATGCAAATCCGGCCTGGTTTAAGACATCAGAGAGGGCAGGAACTCTAAGAACCTCTTCGCTACAGCAAACTAGAGCCAGTTAACATTCAGCAGAAATACAGGTCCTGTGTTGCCACATCAGATTTTCAAGAGAGGCCAGAAACCTAGTTTTAATGTAAAATACCACTATTTAAAATATTGACAACTATCTTTTAAGGAATTAAACGCTGTGTAGGGCAGCTACGTGAGTCCAAGGTTCCATGGGTATCACAGTTAGAGCCTTTAGGGCGAGCAGTCCTAACCCTGCAGGTCAACCCTATCCTAACATGAGCTCAGTCAGTTCCCAGGAGTAGAAGAGCAGAATGGGAAAGCAGGAAGAGCAGGAAGGCTTTTGAGGGAGCACGCATGTTAGACACAAACATCAGCCAAGCCAGGGAAACTCAACAGCCAAGGAAAGGGGCTTCACAACTCCCCTCCTAACACCCCCAACACCTTAGGACTCCCTAAGGCACAGGGAGCTCTGCTGTGTGCTCAGACCACCCCCACATCAGACATGTGAGGCTCTGATTGTCTTCTTGTAGAACCAGCTTCTTTTGTTAAGTCCTGACTTCACTGGAGCCTTCTACCCAAGGCAGACCAAGCTCCAGGGAGAAGCAAATCCCCTGGGATAGCTTCAGTGTTCCAGGACCCAATGCCTCTGAATGGTTAACGTGTTCCATGGCAGAAAGAGAAATAGCTCTCAAAGAAGAGAACACATGGGAGTTACAATAGGGCATCATCCATTTTCAGAAAATAACTCCTTCCGAATCAATTACCTATTCACTTTTCCAGTCCATTTAGCATTTAAACTTTCGCTTAGAGACAGGGTGAGAAATTTCAGTAAACAGCCAAGCCATTTTGAATTGCTCAGGGTCTGGGCCCAGGGACCAACAGAGTGCACCTGCCGTGTTCACTGACAGGAGTCTGCAGGTAAACACAAAGCCACCAAGCGCTTCGTCCCCCTCCCTGTTGCATGCAAAATAGAAAACCATGACACAGAGGAGTCCTAGAGCCCTCGGGACTATCTTCTTTTTATTGTAAAGAACACTCAGTTTAGTTTCAGCACCTGCAGACCTCCCTTTCTGGAAGGTGGATTTGATTTGTAAGAAGGCAGGGAGCACAAGGGAATGGCTTTTCTTCCTCACCCAGTGGGTTCTCAGATCCTCCTGTTTCTTCCCAGTTTTAACAGTGAGACAGAGTCTATCAAATCCTTGCCAAAATGTCAGTAGATCAGGCTTACTGACTTTGTGTTTTAATAGGGGACAAAGCCCCTGTTTGACTTAAACACAACATCTGAGATTCTAAGTAGCGAATCCAACGCATCATCATGCTCCTGGTGGGCACGTGGAGTTCCTGAGATCCTCCCTCATAGGTGACCACCTATTCTACCTGGAGGGGCCATGACAGGCTGGGGATGCCCCTTGTTCTTCTGCTGAGCCACTACATAGAGAAGCTACGCCTTATTATTATAACATAGCAGCTGTCCATGTCAGGGGCTCAATTGCTAAGGACTTTTTCAAGGCCTCCTTTCAAACATTTGGTTCCAGATTTCCTCAGTAAATGGTGAAAGCACTTTGAATGGCTTCACTTCAGTAGCTGCTCTGATGTCTCTATGATCTGACTTGATTGGAAGACAGATTAAAATTCCTTGCATCAAGGGGCTGGCAAGATGTGTTTTTGCCCTATTAAATTCAGAGAGACATGGGCTCATGCTATCCTTCAAAAATGTGTCTACATCACATGAACACAATTTAAGACATGCAGCGTAATAGAGTTTGTAAGTTAGTACAAATGATGAATCCAAGCCCAAGATTCTCAGGCCTGGAGGAAAAAGTGGGGCCAGCAGAAACCCCCAGGGCAGAGACCATGGAAGGACCCACCTTCCTGTTCATCACACAGAGCTGCACAAACAGGACACCCTTGGTAAGTGTCGAGTGCTGCAACTGTACTGAGCAGAGATGGGTGGCTTTCCTGCAAGGGGCACATTAAATATCCCTGAAAATAAATAGCCAAAGAGCATCCAGTTAAAGGCCACTTACTCACAAACGGTAGGAAAAGACAGACCCACGAAGGCACTGGAGAGATATTCTGTGTACATTTCATTTGAAACTCCTTCCAAGTAGTATTTCTGCCACGTGTCTTCCTCAATCTAAGGGAAAAGAACACAGGAGGAGGGTTTAAAATATGACCATAGGCTATAAAAGGGAAACCTGAGTTACACCCTCTGGCAAACAAATGAATGTATTGGTAGATGATGATGGCCGTCAGCAACCAAGAACACAACCACAACACCCACATAAAGCTTCCAGTGACCCTAAACTCAATGATTTGAAGTACATCCCCTCTAAAGCATCACTTCTTTTCTAACCTGTATAATTCCTAAGGGTGTAAATATATAGGCACTCACCCACAATACTGGTGGGCAAGTAAATTGACATAACTAGTTTGAGGAGCAATTTTGCAATTGTTATCAAAATTGGTAAAAGTGCATACTCTTTAATGCAACAATTCCATTTTAAGTATTCACAGCAAAGAAATAAGTATACAAATCTACAAACACATGTATAAGAACTTGCTTTCTATTCATGAAACATTGGCAATAACCACAAGTGGTACACTTAATGAAGGAATACTGAGAAGCAACTAAAAATTACAATGAAAATGTATATTTGTCCATATAGAAATTATGTAAAAAGGCACATTACAAAATCGTGTGTATAGGTTAATACTATTTTAAAAAATACGCTATAGTCATTTGAATATTTGTAAAGCCACAAAGAAGTCTAGAAAGCTTTATAACAAAACACTAGTAAGTATTATTTCTGAGCAGTAGAAGATACCTTTTCTCTATAGATTTCTGTGTTGTATGAAGGCTTTTACGATAAGCATGTGTGTATCACAATAAAACAAAACATTTCTACTTTAGAAAAAAGGAAAGTAGGTTTTTCTGACCTCACCTGGAATATCATAAAAAGCAAAAATGTAGTTTCAGAGAGGTCTTGCACCGAATTTCATTAAAATATGTGTTTTTTCTAATTAATTAAGTTCAACTCGTTTTCCCAACAGCCCTCTTCATGACAGGCATTTCTGGAAGAATTTTACATTGAAATCAATCGTTAAAAATTACATAGTGAGTTGCAACAAGAATGCTGAGCCCCTCTGGGAGCTTAGGGATCTCCTGGGCACCCCTGAAGGAAAGCAGGCTGTGTGTCCTTGTGTGTTCTTCAGCTGCTGCCAACCAGGCTTCCCTTCCAGTGGGAGCTTATGTTAAAGGAGAAGGCAGAAAGCCACCCATCCAACAGGATGTGGCTCTTTACAATTTCTCGTGCTGATCTTGTATTAAAAGGCATCCCATCTACAGCTGATCGGTCAGTTAACTGGGAGAAATGCAACCCTTAGACTCGAAGAGGACATGGGAACAGTGAGAAAGGACACGCCCACCATCTACTGGATGACACGCTGGCATATGAAAGCCAGCAAACACTTGGAAATAAGCTGAATGCTCCTCGACTCTATGCTATTTGTCTGCTTTGTGCTCAGTCTGGGTGACTAGATTATGTGGGTTAGCCGCATTAGTGTGAGCTGTTTCTAACCGACTCCCACAAGTTAGACATTAGCTATGCGAACAGTGAGAAAGGACACGCCCACCATCTACTGGATGACACGCTGGTATATGAAAGCCAGCAAACACTTGGAAATAAGCTGAATGCTACCCGACTCTATGCTATTTGTCTGCTTTGTGCTCAGTCTGGGTGACTAGATTATGTAGGTTAGCCGCATTAGTGTGAGCTGTTTCTAACCGACTCCCACAAGTTAGACATTAGCTATGCAATGCTGCTGGGTGTGGGCTATTTACCTAAAAATTGGTTTTCCTCAGGGTGGGGTCTTTTAAAAAAAGTCACTTGACCATTACTATTGCTAAATGGTATGATTTACAAAATTAACTGCAATGTGTTTTAGCTAAGCATGAACTTTTTAATTTCTCCAAATCATAAGAACTCAGCAATTTTTTTCAAATATAAAATATTGTTGACATATATAAAGATCACTAAGTCTAACTAACTTGAAGAAAGCCTAGTCCGCATTAGTAAAAATTTTGAAATATAGAATATTTGGGGAACCATATTATTATAATTTGTTTTATCAGTAAATAGGATACTATTTGAGGTGTTGCTAACTGTAAATCCTCATAATAGAGGTTAATGGGCAAATAGTGCTCTTGAAGTGGAAGAATTAAGCCTATTCTTTCAGCAGAGACATTTCTTTCATAATTATTGTTTATGTTCTAATTTAAATATTACAACTAATTTTAAAAAATAATGAAAATATAAACCGTCATCTTAATTATTATTGATTATTGGTGGTATTCCTCCATTAATACAGTATTAATATGGTTCTTTAGTTGTCACTATTTTCATGCCTCTATCTCCTAATGGAGCTAGTCTTTAGACCAAATTTTATTGTAGGTTAATCACTAAACTTTTTTTTTTCCTTTTTGTCTTTTTTCATGACCAGTAACAGGATCGCAACCCTCGGTGTCGCGCCCGTACCACGACCAGCAACGGGATTGCAACCCTCAGTGTCGCGCCCGTACCACGACCAGCAACAGGATTGCAACCCTCGGTGTCGCGCCCGCACCGCGCTCAGCCAGTGAGCGGACCGGTCTCTATATGGGATCCGAACCCTCAGTGGGAGCGCAGCCACGCTCCCAAGCGCCGCACTCCACCGAGTGCGCCACCGGGCTGGCCCAATCACTAAACTTTTTAAGTAAGTAGGAACAGGTTATTTATAGGATAACAATATTATTCATGTTTGTTTTGAATTTAGAAAAAATTGTTTCACTGATTCATTCATTCAGAAAATATTTATTGATCATATTCTGTATCTCAGGACCTATTCTAGTGGCTGATTAAATCTTATTTGAAATCGGCATGTATTTTCTCATGTTTTTCTCTTTGCCAGTAAAAGCAACAGATATATCTGGCTAAGACATATCTGACCAGATATACCTGACCTTTACTGAGTTTTTCACACATCTTGATCCTGAAAGTTTGCCTTTGTGATTAATTTGAAATGCTTGAGGACTGAAAGACACAAAACTGGAAAAAAATGTACAGAACATTCTGGAAAGAAAGATGCCTCTCCTACGTCTATATATAGGTTCTCTGAAGGTGTCTACAATGCTAGATGTAGCAGCATGGAATAAACTGTATAAATGCTGAGGAGTTTCAAGCTGTTGTCATAATCCTTTGTTTAAGATTGACATATCTTCAACACTATTTCCATAGAGACAGTAAACATGTTTTTGAGGTTTCCGATAAAGGCATTCCACCAAAAAAAGTATGAAATTGCAAATTGAATTACATCTTTATCTTTTCAAAAGACATATGCAGTTGGTGGGAATGTAAATCGGTGCAGCCACTGTGGAAAACGGTATTGTGGTTCCTCAGCAAATTAAAAATAGAATCACTGTATAACTAGGAATCCCATTCCTAGTTATATAACCAAAAGGCTTGGAAGCAGGGTGTTAAAGGGATATTTGCACACCCACGCCCATCACAGCATTATTCGTAATAGCCAAGACGTGGAAGCCACTCAAGTGTCCATGCGCAGATGAATGGATAAGCGACATGTGGTGCATGTACACTATGGAATATTATGCAGCCTGTAAAAGGAAAGAAATTCTGACACATGCTACGACATGGATAAACCCCGATGGCATTACGCTACGTGAAATAACCCAATCACAAAAAGACAACTAATTTATGATTCCGTTTATACGAGGTACCTACAATGGTTAAATTCATAGAAACAGAAGTAGAATGGTGCTTTCTGGGGGCTAGGGGGAGGAGAAGTGGGGAGCATCAGTTTCGCAAGATAAAAAGAGTTCTAGAGATGGATGGTGTGATGGTTGAACAACCCTGTGAATACACTTAATACCACTGAACCACACACTCAAAAACGGTTAAGATGGTACATTCTGTTATGTGTATTTTACCACAATTAAAACTTTTTAAATACATAGATATAACATAAGAGCAGAAGATTCAGTAATTATAATTAATACTGAGACCCTTTACTCTTCCAGGGCAAGAAGGACAAGTGGTGCCGGAACAAGGACAGGAGCAGGCCAGTCATCTCAGAACAGTCAGGAGCAAGCACCCAGCGCTCTAACCCAGTTGTAGCGCATGGCAAGCTCGGGCAGCTGCATCTCTAAGCAGAGGCTCAAATTATCACCTTTATCAAGGTCTTCCTTTCTAAGTCCCAAGCAGGCTGTCTGTGACTTACTCTGAAAAAGCAAAAAGTGCACGGTCCTCTTACCTCTGTCAATGTGTTTGTAGCACAGAAATAAATCAGTGCAAACCAGGTGGAATTTTAAAAACTTGTGCTTAACATCCGGAAAATGACAACGAACAAAGAAATCTGGAGAGGTGGAAGGAGTTATTGTCATTATGATTTCCCTTTTGCAAATGATAAAACTGAGGCACAGAGAGGTTAAGTCACCTACTGAAGGTCACAAAGCCATTAGTGGTACAGACAGACTCAGAGTTCATGCTCTAAACCACCCACCACAAAATCTCTCGCTAGAGATGACTGGATATTTGTCTAGGGGAGCTGGGATGCTAGGATTTGGGGGAACAGGAAGGATTTGCTGCATACAAGTACCTAAGAGGAAGATATCAGAACAGAAGCTCATCAAGGACTCAAAAGCTGAAACCTAGAATCCCATGATTTGGGGACAGTTCGGCAAGGAGTCACATTGACTTCGAGTCCACCTGGAAGGGTAGTACAGGCCTAGTCTCAGAGCACAGAAGCGTCATTTCTGTTACATAGAAGGGAACCATCCCAGTCTACAACTTCTTTCGCAAAATAGTACACGCTGTTCCCCATATGTGTGTTGTCAAAAGTATTTTTAACTGTAATGTGAAGACACACTTCCCAGCAGAAAAATGAAGGAATGGGACCAAAACGACTTAGGGAAAGGTGCCGAAATTAATTTGCCAGCCATTCAGCAATCAGTCCAAGGCAAAGCATTTCCTGAGGCAGCAACTCATCCCTCGCTGTCACATCAAACCCCAGCTGTTTTAGAAGAGTGCCTAGAAGAGACGAGCAGGTGATGTGCGGCCGTCCCTATTCATCAAATACACA